TGATCCTTGTCTCGCTTTTAACGGGTAAGATTCTTGGTCCTTACCATATATATCCGCTAAGGTAGTATGACTGGGTAAGCTCTTACCCGGTTGCTATTTTATCACATCTTTGATCTACACATAAGGTGTATACACACATCTGATTGAAAATACAAACGATTATTATAAGAATTTATTCATAAATAAATTACATTAATTTTCCAAGATTATATATAGAAAAAGGTGTCAATAAGATCTGAAAAACCAAATTCAAAATACTGAAACTTCGATTTTCCGTCCATTTAGGGACGGACCCAGAATTTTTTTTAAACGGTGGCACCATTTGACCATAAGAAAAAAAAATATAGGAAATTTTTTTTTCAAACGGTGACACCGTTTAACTATAAAAACAAATATATGGAATTTTTTCAAACGATGTCACCGTTTGACTAAGAAAATAACACTAACATGATTCGAACCTGGGTGTGAGGTGGATTAAAAGCCTTGCAAACCAACTCTACCAAATAAAATTTGTTTTCATTGTAGTTTCAAAATATATACGGTGGCACACAACATATTAATACGGTTGCACCGTTCACGAAACCTAATTTTTTTACCCTTCGGCTAAGAAATAATACAGTGGCACGTGGCACCTATACCACATACATAGGTCCGTCCATGATCCGTTACAACAAAATCGATATACAGAGACCAAAAATGGATTACGTTTAAAATATGTTAAACGTTCATTTTTTAAAATGCGTAAAGATCCGAATAGAATAGTTCAAAATGGTTTTCAACAAGGTTCAATTCTGTAAATAAAACGACATTATTTATTTATTTATTTAAATGATTAAATAAATTAAATGATAGAATTTAATATGGAGGTGGAAACACGTAATAGTTGTTGAGAAATTAATAGGGAATATGGTGCAAACCACATTTTATTTTATTAATTTACAACCGAATTTTTCAGCTATTTATTATTATAACTTTTATATATATATATATATATATATATATATATATATATATATATATAT